AAGAGAGTTAAAAAGAGTGGAACTAAATGTTGATGGTTGGATTTGTCCGTTCAGAATAAAAATATCCAGGAAAGTACAAGTCCGGGAACAAATCAGGAAACTTCTGTGTGCGAGGGATCCACTGAGACTGTGCCAATGGTGATGGATTCACGTAGGGCTTTGAATCAGCTGCCGAGTTCGCGGGAGCAACCGTCTCAGTTGTATGATAAACTCATCGTATCATTCATGAAGTTTGTTGGAGCGACTCGAGAAGAAGCAATCGCTTGCCTTAATTTCTGCAATGGCGATGTAAGGCTTGCCGTCAACTATTACAGAGGATTACCTTCACAATCGCAGTTTCAGGCTTCACTTGATTCCCCAAATCAAGGTTACTTGAAAGAAGGCGAAATCAGGAGCCCTTCTAGGTGATTTTTCATCATCTTCTCTGTTGTTTCTCCCTTTTTTACTTACAATTATGTCTCCAAGAAGTAAAAATGTTGGTTACTAGAGTATGCTTGGTATGAATATCTCACCTATCACCTTTCAGGATTGCTAAACTTCCATATCTGAATCTTTTATTTTCTCCTCCATTCGCCTACTTGTACAGTTCGGTTATTGCTGACCCGACCGAGACAGGAAGTCCATTCAAAGAAGCTGGTCCTGGAATTGCGACGTCTCAAGTGGTTGTATGTAACCTTGTCTTTCTCTCTGCACTATTTTACTATGGTTTTGCTTGTTTGCTCGAATTGTGTTTGCTACAATTTTATACTCAAAAACAGAACCTAGCATTGTGGTCATTCTTTGCCTTGGCCTTCTTACGATAGTTAAATAGAAGGGAAGTCAATGTTGATACACGGCTTGCATTTCTCCATTATCTCTTTCTGTGCAATTGAGTTTTCTCTTCATAATATGTCAGACTGAGGGTGTTGATGAAGACTCAAGCACAGAGACAGGTCGTGATCCTTTGGCCACCCAAGACAGGAACATTGTGGAAGCTGAGCAGATTACTACCGAGATAACATTTCAAGTCTCAATGGCCGATGGAACAGAGGTATCCATGACTTTTAAACCAGACAAAACCCTCAGAGACATCCGCAATAGGATTGCAGAGTTGAGACCAGATGACAACAGAGACTACTACTTGGAGTCTATGGAAGGAGGAGAGAGATACGATGATTTGAATACAACTGTACAGAGAATTTATTCTCGTGGTAAAGCAAAGCTCATTCAGGTCGATTTGTAGGTTTGGTTTGGTACAGTCTCCATTGATTGATGAAACATAGAGAGGTAGAGAGAGAGAGATATGACTTTAGAAAGTATATTCTTGGCTTTATACTTGTTTTTAGAGAGTTTTTACTAAAGCTTTGATTCTGTATAGTTACTACTACTACTCCCATTGATGATGGAGACATAGAGAGAACTGAAACAATAACTGTTGTATCTTTTATCAACTTTGCTCTCTTGTCTCCTCTGTTTTTGTTTTCATTGTACTTTACAAAACAAAGCAGCTTCTTACTTTTTTCTGTTTGACGAATAAAAAGGATTACAATTAGAATTTGATATTGTGTTATTCAAACTCGTTCTTGAAAGATGATTTTTTTTGCAAGAAAGATGCTTGACGCAGAGACACAACAGACTAGACGTAAACCCGACATTATAAATGAAGGAGAAGATTGGTAGTAATGTGATTTGGCAATGAAGCTTCTGTCACTTATCTTATAGATAGAGATGTTTACGGATGAGTCTATAAGTTTTGCCGTCTTGGTACTGGCGTTTACTTAAAGTGTTCTTGTAGTATTATTACATATAAGAATTTGTGGCCTCACAATGAAATGGCATTAATTTTGTTTGTGGATTAGAGAAGACTTGTCAAAATTTAAAGAAGATTTGGCATTGATTTGAGAAGACTTTGTCAAAAACGTATAACTTGGATTGGAATATCACATCAGTTTGAAATTTCCCACATACATTCAAAACTACAGAAATCAACTTAGACAAATTTTTGTTGTTAACTGTTAAAGACGTTTCAGAGTTACACAAAATCTCTGTCTTTTACAATTTTTTTAGTCATGACAATTATGTTGTGATCCTCTGTTTTTTTCGCACTCCTCTGTTTCGTGTTCGTATATAGAATCAGCCTTTTTTTTTTTTGTCTTTTCACCATCGAAAAATTAGAACATAATCTTGATCAAAAAACAAAAAAAAATTAGAACATAAATATATGACTACTAAAAGATTCAGCTTTAAAGCATATGAAATAGAACATAGCATTATATAAAGATATATAAGACAAACATAACTGCTTTATTACACAACACCAGCAACTTATGATAAACATTCAACAAAATAGAAATAATTCTAACAGTCACTTCAGTGTGTATGAAGCAACGACTAGCTTGTGCTATTGCCAATCTTAACGGTTTCTTCGCTTATTCAGACACATTATCTTGGCAAGCCACTCAGGTTTGAATGAAGCAGTGACTTGTGCTATAGCCAATCCAAGCAACACTCCAGGCCCATACCCTATTACCATTGCTTTCCAGCTCAACACTTCATTATCTTTCTCTTCTTCGTCTTCTTCCTGAGATTGTTGTATTGGTGGCGCATCAGTCCCGAAGCAACTTTCCTCGAGGGGAAGACCACAAAGCCCTGAATTCCCTTCGAATGACGATTTAGGCTGCCCAATAATCTGTGTGCCTTGCGGTATTTCACCCTTGAGTTGGTTATGAGACACATTTACATACGCCAAAAACGTGAGGGTCTTGAATCCATTAGGAATAGTCCCTGACAGTTGATTGCTTGACAGGTCTAGCGACTCGAGCTCGGTAAGATTGGCCAAAGACAGAGGAATATGGCCTGTGAAGGCGTTGTTGGATAAGTTGAGCGAAATCAATCCCTTCAAGAGACCAATGGCAATTCTGTTTCCAGAGATATCAATGGTGCTATAGGAAGTAAGGACCACCTCGTGCTCCATGAATAGACCTTTGTATAGCAAATCTATACGGTCTGAGTAGTAAAAGTAAGTATCTTTGATTACTTTGCTTGTGTATATCATATATATACTCCCATCTTCATTCATCTGATGTGAAGATGCTTTCCAATTCACAAAGTAACTTGGTGACAAACTTCCAGAAAAGTTGTTATCCGATATCTCAAATATGCGTAGCTCGGGGAACGCGAGGGGACCTTGATGAGAAGGAGAGATAGAACCATAGAATTTGTTTGAACGGAGGATAAGGACTTGTAAATTTGGCAAAGCCTTGAGCCAGGAAGGAAACGTGTCTTCGATTCCATTATGCTCAGCACTTAAAATCTTTAGAGAAGAACAATTAACAAGAGACCTTGGCAGCTTCCCAGTTAGTTGATTGTAGCCAATGTCAAGTGTGCGCAGTGAGGAACCAACATAGAATATGTCCGGGAGACTTCCTTGGAAATTGTTCTTCTGAAGACTCACTGACGTCAAGTTACTCAAACAATGAGGAATTGGACCGATGAAATTGTTGTAGGATAGATCAAGAAACATGAGAGAGTTGCAGTTGCAAACTGAGAGAGATATGTTTCCTGTGAAATTATTGTTCCACGCAGAGAAGAAGCTGATAGAGAGTGGTAGATTAGGAAGTGCTCCTTCAAAACTGTTTAAATCCAAAAATAATATCTGCACTGATGAATTTACTAAAACATCCTCTGAACCTTTGAAACCGTCGAGAGAATTGTTGTAAAAATTCACTACAATCAGACGAGGAAGGCTCCAAAACCATGAAGGGACTTTTCCTTTAATTCTGTTGTGGGATATGTCTATAAACGTCAAGTTCTTAAGAGGTTTTAAGATGTTTGGGAACTCAGTGATATTGCACCGGATCAAGTACAAGACGTTTAGGTTCGTTCAATGGGATGCTTGAATCTGAACTTAAACTTGTCGGGGATACAATATTACCGGCGCAACAAAGATTTGAAAGAGGAGAAGAGGTTTAAGTCAATTGGTTGGCTTATGTTTAGGAAAGAAAGGTCGAGATAAATGAGGTTAATAAGCTTTGAGATAGGTTTTAGAATTTGTCCATCAAATAGGTTATGACCAAGGGACATGTAAAATAGCTTTGATGAAGAAGAGGAGTTGGGAACTTCAATCGAACCGGCTGTGAAATGGTTCTCATCCAAAACAAGAGTTGACAAGAAAGGCATGGTGAACATAGATGAAGGAATGGTTCCAAACAAGTGATTATGGGAAAGTCTTATATCCGAGAGGTTGGTTAGATTTTGTACAAGTGGGAAACTATCTGTGAGGTTGTTATGGTCAAGGTACAAGGTTGTTAGCTGGCTTAGGTTACTAAATGAGGAAGGAACTTGACCTATGAAGCCGTTATAGGAAAGAGACAATAACTCTAATTTGTTAAGATTGCCAAATTCGAAAGGGAGTGAAGAGGAGATGAAGTTGTTTTGAGAGAGATCAAGGTAACGAAGGCGGTGCAGCCCGAAGAGACTACTGTTGGGATTTAGAGTTCCAGAGAAGTGATTACTGTTAAGGCCTAAAACAGAGAGTTTGGTTAGATTATGTATAGGTGGGAAGCTACCGGTGAGCTCATTTTGGGATAGGACTAAATAGGAAAGACGGCTTAGGTTACTAAATGAGGACGGAACTTGGCCAATGAAGCCATTAGAGGAAAGAGACAAGACCTCTAATTTCTCGAGATTGCCAAAACCGGAAGGGAGTGAAGAGTGATGTATTGCGTTTTTAACGCATTCTAACCCATGTTTTCAATGTTTTATCGAGTCTTTCCTTTGGTTCTGTGATCTTTGCAGGTTATAATATGTTTGGAATAAGTCTAAAGCGAATTGGAGCAAGAAATGGAAGAAAAGAGCGAAGAAGCAAGAAAAGAGGC